ATCGATAAAAAAATAACAAGAAGTGGTTTTGTTGTGAATTATTATATAATCTAGGGAGGGGTAACAAATGATTGATCAACCACAGTTTGAATGGAATTGTGCAATCACAGGTAATGTAAGCTCAAGGTAAACAATGGTGGGGTAAGAAATTTCTTTTCAAAACTTGTCTGAAATGTCACCAAAACATTGTCAGACGCACTAAAAGTTCACTGTCGACACAGTTGTCTTCAATAGCGTGTATGACCTCCAGCTGCCTCAATGCATGCTGTGGTACGCCACCTCATCGATGACGTCAGTCTTCTGATGACGTGGACTGGAATCCGTTGCCACTCGTCTCTCAGGCCCGCTGCAATTCTTGTCTGTTGACGGGAGGCTGGTGGCGTGCTCTAATCTGTCTGTCAAGATGGTCCCACAGATTTATATCGGGTGAGTGGGCAGGCCAGGGCAAAACGTCAACGTTCTGCTGGTTTAGAAAGTTCCGAGTCGGTCTTGCAGTATGGGGCCTGGCATTGTCGTGTTGAAACAATGTCCCCTGCTGGTGGTTTTGTAAGAACTGAAGCACAACTGGCTGCAACACATGGTCTCTGTGCTGCATCTCTGTGCTGCACAGCGTTCAGGTTTCCCTGTATAATCACCAAATCAGTCTTCTGATCTCCACAAATACCGCCCGACACCATGCCACCTCCCCCGCCGAATGGATGGACCTCTCGAATACACACCGGAGCCAAACGTTCCTCTCTGTGTCGATAAACTCGTTCTCTGCCGTCATTTCGAAACAAGTTAAACCGACTTTCATCAGTAAACAGCACTCGACGCCAATTTCTCACTTGCCAGCGTCGAACCTGCCTCGCCCATCGCAGTCTCAGGCGTCGATGTTGAGCAGTCAGTACCATTCCTCGGAAAGGACGATACGCTCGGGTTCTAGCAGCACGAAGTCGTCGTAGTACTGTACGTTGGCTAATGGGATGTCCCAACGCTGTTGCTGCCGTCGCCGTCACGAATCTGTTTCGCAGGTGAATGAGCCGTATCTGACCGTCTTCCAGTGGTGTTCGGGGTCGTCCGGTTCTAGGCCTGTCCTGTGTCCTCCCTGTCTGCCTGTACCGCTGAATCAGCCTAGCTACTGTCAATGGTGTACAACCAAACCTTCTGGCAATTTGGACCTTCCGGAGAGCGGAATGTCGGGGTTCGATCCCCGTCCGCGTCATACCAAAATACGTTAAAAGATAGTACTTGTTGTTACCCTATCTGGCGCTCGGCATTAAGGGGCCAAAACAAGGACTGGACGGCCCGGAGTCAGTATACTGTGTCTGTGGGTATTCATGTTTAACTGCGGCATGGTACATATCCTCAGTGAGCTAGCACTATAAATCGGCATCAGTCTGGACTAGAACAAGCAGCCACACACAAGCACACACACACGTGTACATGTATATGCACGTCGCTATATAAGTACAAAAATCTTGGACGCGACGTTAAACCCCATTTCACCCCACCTTATACTAGATTGTGCAGATCTATACATTATTTGTCACCCGTGAAGATCCGGGATAGAATAGATCTTCAGCAACCCGTGCTTGCCATAAATGCCGACTATACTTGTCGTAAGAGGGAACTAACGGGATCGGGTGGTCAGGCTCGCTTACTAGGTTGATGCATGTCATCGTATTCCAATTGCGTGGATCGATGCTCATTATGTCAATCACTTGATTGTCTGTTAGTGAGTCGATTATTTACATATCGCCGTCATATAGCTGTAATATTGCTGAGTGCGGCGTTAAACAACAAACAAACAAACATTATTTGTGTTTCGTGGGATTTTTAGTATATTTGTAGCATTTTTACACCATGATAATTTACTGGTACCTTGTTCGCCTTCTGAGGCTATTTTCACTTATAACGCTCACATAGGGGAACGATGATTTACTGGTACCTTGTTCGCCTTCTGAGGCAATATGGAAAGCTATATGACGGCGGTCTGTAAATAATCGAGTCTGGACCAGACAATCCAGTGATTGACATCATGAACATCGATCCACGCAATTGGGATCGATGACATGCATCGACCAAGTCAGCAAGCCAGACCACCCGATCCCGTTAGTCGCCTCTTACGGATGTATAACAGTCTCCCACATGACACCACGCGCGTATTTGCCAAACATTAAGTATTTGGGATGATTTTCTCCTTGTTGGATAAAACATCGAGAGATTATCTTGCGGATGTTAAGATGCGGATGCGGATGATAAGCGAGCGGGTGATTAGGGTTTTACGCCACTGTCAGCAATATTGCAGCAACTATACGGCAGCAACTATACAGAAATGGGCTTGGCACATTGTAGCAATGCAACTTCAAAATCTATTGTAGGCGTGGACGTGGACGTGGATGTGGACGTGAACGTGCATTTGAATGTGGAAGCGGAAGTGGATATGGATGTAGACACGGATGTGGTCGTAGATGTGGACGTGGATGTAGACGTGGATGTGGTTGTGGAAGTAGATGTGGAGGTGGACGTGGAAGCGAAAGTGTATGTGCATGTGGATGTTGACGCGGATGTGGACCTGGATGTTGCCGTAGACGTGGATGTAGACGTGAATTTGAATGTGGAATTTGATGTGGATGTGGAAGTGGACGCGGAAGTTGATGTTGATGTTGATGTAGACGCGGGTGTGGTCGTAGATGTGGACGTGGATGTGGTTGTGGAAGAAGATGTGGAGGTGGACGTGGAAGCGGAAGTGGGTGTGGATGTAGACGCGGATGTAGATGTGGACGTAAAGGTGGATGCTTTATCTGTTTTAGGGGCCACAAGAAAGAAAGAAAACAACATTTATCAATAATTTTATGTTTCCAACACACTTTACATGAACCTAAGGAAACGTACGTAAAATATCTGGAGTCCCTGTACTTGAAAGGTGATTCTTAAAAGCATTGTGGGTTACCAGCGCCTCTGTAGCCTGAACGAAATATTGTGATATTTTCGCATAATGTATTTACATTACTACAACGGAGACAATGGGGATTGTGTGTTGTGTGTTCAATGTCTTAACCCTCTGCAGTCTTTCCACTCGCATCCATGTTTTCCTGTTGACATTGACAATAACTAGAGTTGCAGATTTCCCACTATGTGTTTTTTGCAATACGTTCTGTGCCATATCGCTGCATCTGATATTGAATTTAATACCGTAGTCAACCAAGTCACCGAGCTTACGACCAGAAAGGTTTGCTGGGGGGAGAACAAAGGCCATGAAGAATCAGAAGATTTTGTTTTTCAAGTTATATTTTCCCTCACTGGAATGTTCTCCAGATCACACAAACAAGTCAATCACTCTATAAAGTGCCCAACATTGTGGCAATAAAACACTGCAATAAGCGATATTTTATTTTAATTAAATTGTACATTTATATACCGCACGTATCAGGAACTAGTATCTGCTGAAATGTAGTTTTATTTGTTCACCGACCAATGGATCCGTTTTCATTCTAGTTATCATTCTCAACTCCATGGGGAGTATACAACCCAGACTGCCTACGGGCGCTAGGATATTTTACATCTACATCACATATCGGGTACCCATTCCCTGCTGGTTGGACAGAGGTACATTTGGACTACGTTACTTGCCCAGGTTGACACCACAAGTTTTGACACTTGTGTTGAACGTGTTTCCACCATCTGGTCATCTACCATCGGACGAGTGGATTCTTTTGAGTGCACAGGATATATGCACTGTACACTAGGCAAGGGGTAGTGATAACACAGTAAAGACCTGTAAACATTGTTGGTCCCAAGTCTGAATAACAAGTCGGTAACCAGTGGGTTACAGTAGCTGGGATTTTGACCGCTTGCCCACTCCGCCCAACTAGTGTTTTGAAGAAGTATATCGCCCTTTGACAACATCAACGTTTAAATACAGAACAAGAGCGCTTTGTGGGAAAACTTTATTGAAGGTTTTTCTACTGCACTTACATGAATGGACAAAGGAACATTCAGATAAAAATATGGCTCCATAAGTATAAAATGACGTTTGTAAGTGAATACAACACACGTGAAAATGAAATGAAACATCGTACACGTACAAACTGATTACAGTGCAATCTGGTTATACTGCCAACCTGGTTATACTGCCAATTAACCCGATTATAGTGCCAACCTGGTTATACTGCCAACCTGGTTATAATGCCAACTTGGTTATACTACAAACCTGGTTATAATGCCATGTTATTCCTGGAACGGAATTCCGCACTATCAGATTACCTTTTGTGTAAGGGCAACATGGTTAAAATAAAATGCCTTTGTCAATGTCAACTAGAGCTGTCGACACAAAAATAAAGATGAAAATTCAAATATATAATTTTCGGAAGCCCACCAGGGTCATGTCATTTTTTATCATCTTGAAAATGCAAGATATAAAGTTGAAAATGCAAGATATAAAGTTGAAAATGCAAGATATAAAGTTGCAGATGCAAGATACTAGTTACAAACTCAAGATATCTTGAAAAGTCAAGAAACAAAGTTAAAAACTCAAGTTGCTATCTTGAAAAAATCAAGTTATTAAGTTGAATGTTGTCAAGATATAAACTTGAATTTTCAAAATACAAATAGCAATTTTGTGGCCAAAATGGGCTTCCGTAGAGTGTCCGTTAATGATACTTGGAATAAACATGAATCCTACGGATTACGTATCAGGTTTCAAGGCATCGTAACTTCTAAGGTGGCATTTAACTGTTATTATTTTTAGTATTTTAAAAAAACCTGCATAATAAGCAATAGTAATACCCCGAACAAACCATGGCCCCTTTCGCTGTGATTTATAAAGCAAGCATTAATTTTAGTTTTGAAATGTTTCGTTTCTATGCATCTACAATATAAACAAACTTAAGGAAAAATTATTTGATAGGCATTACTTAGAAGTTGACGGATGACAGGGTAGACACAATTTTATGGACAACAACTTCTTTAATACTTTTACAGTATTAAAGAAGTTGTTATCCATAAAATTGTGTCTACCCCGTGAATGGCCAGGAAGATATAAAACAACAGATATATACCAACACGGTTGCAGTTATATACAGCAGATCAACTCACGCGAAAAGCTAATTCACTTAATAGTCGCTACATATACATATTGCTAATGTCTGAAAACTGACAATCAATTGGTTACATTATGTAAATGATGTTCATGGTACCGAATGTACATACAGGATGACATGTTTACGACACCGTATTAACAAGTAAGTTAACTACGTGAAACGCTACAATAAGGTAATCTATAAAAGAAGCCACAATATCTACGAACTCGTTCTCCATGGACATGCTTAAATCTATGAGCCTGAATGTAAGTAGTGTGGCAAATGTCGGTCCCTTACAACAACCGTATTAACAAGTAAGTTTAAATTAAGTGAAACGCCACCATGGGATATTCTGTGAATTACAGAACGTCAACGTCAGACAATTGTAACCAGTCTCGATTATCCGCCGGAATAGAAAAAAATATAGCGGTGAACATATATCACTGAAAATCAGTGACGACGCCAGATGCTCGCGATACCATAACATCTATGAACTTGTGGGCATGCTAAATGTCACCCAAAGCTTGGGTACACCTTTCTCTAAAGCCGTAACATGTTCATTTTACCTGTCGTTCAAATAACATTTTCTTGTTCTCGATTCGTGGTTGGCGTCCTCTTCACATTTGTTGCCGCATTCGAGGAGTTGGGTATTATTTCCATGTGAACTTAACGAGTATGTTTTATACTTGGTTGAGTTTGGATAACACATAAGTTTGATATTTAGTCTCTACACCTTATTTATGTCCTTCTCCTCAGATGAGACACGACGCTGTGTGTCAATTGCAGACGACGATGTAGAATATATGCTACCCTTCTTTTGTTTTCGACAAGCATTTTTAACGAGAAGGAAAGTGCGTTTGTTTGCCATGAAAGCCATAAAGATGAGCACACCTTGAGCGCCAGTCAAAATAATAAACAGATACGTGAAAACCTGACTGCTTTTGTCAACCATTTGTAGAAAGCCAAATACCCAGGAGAAACCAGTTATAGTAGATAGTTTGATGTACATTAAAATGTTCCATTTTACCTCATTACCCACCTTTCGTCTGTTGGCTGAGGCCCTACATAGGTAAACGACGGTCAAAGTGAAGAGGGTGAAACTGACCAAGATGGTCATTCCTGCTGGGACCAACAGCCCAACAATGCCGTTAGTTCCATTTGAGACGAAGCAGAAGTTTGATGTATCTGCATACCCGAAAGACACAGACCCAGAGACGAAATAGTTTGCTGTCATCGTTGTCGCAACAACAGCAGCTGGAGTACCAAAGCCAAAGATGCAGTATTTGAGGATAATTCTCTTCTTGTTGGATTCAAAACTACGAGACGAAAATACGTCTCTAAAGACTCTGAATGTGTGGAAAGAAGAGATGTTAAGCCAACAGAAGGATGCAAGCCAGAAGAAGTGGATGACTGCACCAATAGCAATACAGGTTGTACGATTGTATGCTTGGGCACTCCCAAAGAAGAAGGTTGCATGTGCCAGAAACAGAGATGCCGACAGGAACATGAGAATCACGCCAGGCAGATTCCCGAGGTTGGGGAAGAAGCAGTGAAAGATGAAAGTGAGAAGCAGGAACACCTGGCTAGACACCAGACATATGTTCGTCAACACCACTGTTGGGCGATTAAGATCAATTTTAAACTTTTCATTTTTGCTTGAACCTTGTGAACCAAGAGCTGTCACGCATACTTTTAGATGTCCAGTTGATGTGAGGATGAAGTCACTTTCATTTAATACACGACCACCTTTCACAGCTACAGACCCATTCGGGTATTTTTTTAATGTTGAGTTGTTTAAGATTATATGATTACACCGCAAATGTGAAGTCGTTAATGACTTAGCTTTCTTATGTGCAGGAGAAGTGGCTATTGACGTTGGTTCAGACGCAGGTGATAGGTCCTCTTCTGCAACACCTGGTGTCCGTATCGTCCCCGTGGAGTTACGGTGCGCCGTATGTCCACCTCTGCAGTTGTGGGTAGTCGAAGAACGAGTAGGGGTGTTTATATAAACTGGTGTAATATCATTTTCTTGTGAGGGTAACGGAGGCGGTGATACATAACCTCCTGAAGTAGGTGGTTCCATGTGTCCTCTTGTAGTTGGTGGTTCCAGGTGTATTCTTGTTGAAGAAGGTTGTTGCACATTTGAAGGTGTTGGTGTGTACTCCCATGTAGATGAAGGTGGAGTCGATTCATCAGAGGATGAACGCGTCACGTAGCAAACCTGGAACAGTTATCAAACCTTGTATTGGTATCACTGTCAAACGCTCCTTCAACTACAGAACAGCACAGCTAAGTGCATCACTGATCTAAAAGTCTAGACATATTGGTAAAGGCCTATTTGAATTTACTGAAATGTACTAAAATAACAGTGACTATAGATACATTTTACACGATGAAACTAGATTTCAATCGGATATTATAAAAAATAAAAATTTCCCCGAAAATGCTTATAAAACATATTTATGCTTCAGACAGTTGGAAAGACTACTTGTCTGCCTCAAAAAAATACATTGTTTACAAGATGTTCTAATTAATGTATTTTTACTTTTCGCACACAGTTGCAATAGTTTTTATAGTTAAGTTGTCATCCATAGAACTGCTTGTTGATATCATATGATCATTTTGAAAACCGTCTCAAATAGTATACCAGCATGTTGTTGACAGTGATATAACCTCTTTATTATTGTCATCAACTACGTCTACACCACGAGGTTAATATAGTTCCACCTGAATTTACCAACAGTGGCGTAACTACCACACAGGCAAAATGAAATGTAATACTGATACTATATATATATATATATATATATATATATATATATAGTGTGTGTGTGTGTGTGTGTGTGTGTGTGTCTGTGTGTGTGTGTGTGTGTGTGTGTGTGTGTGTGTGTGTGTGTGTGTGTGTGTGTGTGTCGTCATGACTACTGAGTTGTGCCAATATTTTGCCTCGACTAATTTTTTAGATGTTGCTATCATGCAGTATCCCGCAGTAAGATTTTCTCTTGGAGTATAAGTAATTACAGTCATCCTGTCCCATCCCTCTACATGATCAGCCTGTGAAGATCCGGGGTAGAATAGGTCTTCAGTAACCCATGCTTGGTGTAAAAGGCGACTATGCTTGTCGTAAGAGGCGACTAACGGGATCTGGTGGTCAGACTCACTGACTTGGTTGATGAATGTCATCGATCCCACAATTTCGTGGATCGATGCTCAAGATGTCAATCACTGGATTGCCTGGCCCAGACTCGATTACTTACAAACCGCCGTCATATAGCTGGAATATTGCTGAGTGCGGCGTTACACAACAAACAAACAAACATGATCGAGTCATTAGTCCTAAACGCGCAAAACATATGTACGAGGGCAGTGAAGGTGCTTGTTGACAAACAACCTAATCAAACCTCGTCCTTTTCTAACCCGAAATATTTCCCAAGGAATGGTAAGGTTAACATTTAATCTTACAGTTCAGATGCCCCTTCAACGGCGCAGCGGTGAGTAGAAGGAATACGGACCTGGATTAATTGAAAATATCAATGTTAACTTACGCCGTTGACGTAGACTTGACCATCGGGACAGACACTCCCCTTGGGGACGCCCACACCCAGGACTCTGTATAATGAGTTTCCACCAATCGCAAATGCGACGTTTGTAGACGTAAATATTCGAGTTGATGTGGGGAACGTGGATGTTCTGTCTTGAGCATCTGTGAGAGACACGGTGGTTGTTCTGTCTTGAGCATCTGTGAGAGACACGGTGGATGTTCTGTCTTGAGCATCTGTGAGAGACACGGTGGATGTTCTGTCTTGAGCATCTGTGAGAGACACGGTGGGTGTTCTGTCTCGAGCATCTGTCAGAGACACGGTGGATGTTCTGTCTCGAGCATCTGTGAGAGACACGGTGGATGTTCTGTCTTGAGCATCTGTGTGAGACACGGTGTATGTTCTGTCTCGAGCATCTGTGAGAGACACGGTGGATGTTCTGTCTCCAGCATCTGTGAGAGACACGGTGGGTGTTCTGTCTCGAGCATCTGTGAGAGACACGGTGGATGTGCTGTCTCGAGCATCTGTGAGAGACACGGTGGGTGTTCTGTCTTGAGCATCTGTGAGAGACACGGTGGATATTCTGTCTCGAGCATCTGTGAGAGACACGGTGGATGTTCTGTCTCGAGCATCTGTGAGAGACACGGTGGGTGTTCTGTCTTGAGCATCTGTGAGAGACACGGTGGATGTTCTGTCTCGAGCATCTGTGATAGACACGGTGGGTGTTCTGTCTTGAGCATCTGTGAGAGACACGGTGGTAGTTCTGTCTCGAGCATCTGTGAGAGACACGGTGGATGTCTTGTCTCGAGCATCTGTGAGAGACACGTTGGATCTGGTGACAGGGTCTGTGACTGACAAGGTGGAGCTGATCACAGCGTCTGTGGCTGTCAAGGTGGAGCTGATCACAGCGTCTGTGGCTGTCAAGGTGGAGCTGGTCACAGTGTCTGTGACTGACGCATTGGATTTAGTTACATGGTCTTGACTTGACATGATGGATCTGGTCACAGGACCTTTGAGAGGCATGGAGAATGTCACAACAAAGCCAATAATACACATTGATACTGCAGTCCGTGTCTTCGATGCCATAGTGAAAGAAGTGAACTGGCAGCGTACTCATCAGCCTTGCTCCATCGACTCGATGTATCTTATTGAAGAGGCAAGTGAATGTCCCCACGCACATCCTTTAGCACCACAGCAACATTATTTAATGGGATGTATTATCTGACTGCAGCCAATACAAACGGATGTTTTCAGGTGTTTAATACTGTGCTATCACAATGGCACATCTTCATCAATAATTATGATGTGTAAAAGATATACATTCCCTTCTCTTTATCATTTGTGACAACTCGACATGAATCAGACCCGCGCGATCGCTAATGGATGATGCTTTTAACAGATTCTCAGAGTGGTTATCAACATTACTCATTAGTTGATTGCAAAAGTAGGATATGTGATTGATTCACTATGATTGATTATTCATGAATACTTAAAGGTAATCAATGCATGAGTCTGCTAGTTTCACCTTTTACATGGAGTCAGATTTTGTCCTCGGCAACCTATGCTTGTCTGTGACGAGGCGAGTCAATGGATGGCGTGGTCGGTCTCAGTGACTTGGTGTTTAGCATGTCAATGTACCCCGATGGCGTGGTCGGTCTCGGTGACTTGGTGTTTAGCATGTCAACGTACCCCGATGGCGTGGTCGGTCTCGGTGACTTGGTGTTTAGCATGTCAACGTACCCCGATGGCGTGGTCGGTCACGGTGACTTGGTGTTTAGCATGTCAACGTACCCCGATGGCGTGGTCGGTCTCGGTGACTTGGTGTTTAACATGTCAACGTACCCCGATGGCGTGGTCGGTCACGGTGACTTGGTGTTTAGCATGTCAACGTACCCCGATGTCGTGGTCGGTCTCGGTGACTTGGTGTTTAACATGTCAACGTACCCCGATGGTGTGGTCGGTCTCGGTGACTTGGTGTTTAGCATGTCAACGTACCCCGATGGCGTGGTAGGCCACGGTGACTTGGTGTTAAGCATGTCAACGTACCCCGATGGTGTGGTCGATCTCGGTGACGTGGCGTTTAGCATGTCAACGTACCCCGATGGCGTGGTCGGTCTCGGTGACTTGGTGTTTAGCATGTCAACGTACCCCGATGGCGTGGTCGGTCTCGGTGACTTGGTGTTTAGCATGTCAACGTACCCCGATGGCGTGGTCGGTCACGGTGACTTGGTGTTTAGCATGTCAACGTACCCCGATGGCGTGGTCGGTCTCGGTGACTTGGTGTTTAACATGTCAACGTACCCCGATGGCGTGGTCGGTCACGGTGACTTGGTGTTTAGCATGTCAACGTACCCCGATGTCGTGGTCGGTCTCGGTGACTTAGTGTTTAGCATGTCAACGTACCCCGATGGTGTGGTCGGTCTCGGTGACTTGGTGTTTAGCATGTCAACGTACCCCGATGGCGTGGTCGGTCACGGTGACTTGGTGTTTAGCATGTCAACGTACCCCGATGGCGTGGTCGGTCTCGGTGACTTGGTGTTTAGCATGTCAACGTACCCCGATGGCGTGGTCGGTCACGGTGACTTGGTGTTTAGCATGTCAACGTACCCCGATGGCGTGGTCGGTCTCGGTGACTTGGTGTTTAACATGTCAACGTACCCCGATGGCGTGGTCGGTCACGGTGACTTGGTGTTTAGCATGTCAACGTACCCCGATGGCGTGGTCGGTCTCGGTGACTTGGTGTTTAACATGTCAACGTACCCCGATGGCGTGGTCGGTCACGGTGACTTAGTGTTTAGCATGTCAACGTACCCCGATGGTGTGGTCGGTCTCGGTGACTTGGTGTTTAGCATGTCAACGTACCCCGATGGCGTGGTAGGCCACGGTGACTTGGTGTTAAGCATGTCAACGTACCCCGATGGTGTGGTCGATCTCGGTGACGTGGCGTTTAGCATGTCAACGTACCCCGATGGCGTGGTCGGTCTCGGTGACTTGGTGTTTAGCATGTCAACGTACCCCGATGGCGTGGTCGGTCTCGGTGACTTGGTGTTTAGCATGTCAACGTACCCCGATGGCGTGGTCGGTCACGGTGACTTGGTGTTTAGCATGTCAACGTACCCCGATGGCGTGGTCGGTCTCGGTGACTTGGTGTTTAACATGTCAACGTACCCCGATGGCGTGGTCGGTCACGGTGACTTGGTGTTTAGCATGTCAACGTACCCCGATGTCGTGGTCGGTCTCGGTGACTTAGTGTTTAGCATGTCAACGTACCCCGATGGTGTGGTCGGTCTCGGTGACTTGGTGTTTAGCATGTCAACGTACCCCGATGGCGTGGTCGGTCACGGTGACTTGGTGTTTAGCATGTCAACGTACCCCGATGGCGTGGTCGGTCTCGGTGACTTGGTGTTTAGCATGTCAACGTACCCCGATGGCGTGGTCGGTCACGGTGACTTGGTGTTTAGCATGTCAACGTACCCCGATGGCGTGGTCGGTCTCGGTGACTTGGTGTTTAGCATGTCAACGTACCCCGATGGCGTGGTCGGTCTCGGTGACTTGGTGTTTAGCATGTCAACGTACCCCGATGGCGTGGTCGGTCTCGGTGACTTGGTGTTTAGCATGTCAACGTACCCCGATGTCGTGGTCGGTCTCGGTGACTTGGTGTTTAGCATGTCAACGT